TCACTCAGGCAGCCTGCACAGCGCTGAATAGTGTGAATGCATTTAATTACAATCTGACATGTGTATTCCTGAGAAACAAAAGGCTGTGAACTGAGGGTGATGATTAACTGTTCTACCAGATAATTGCTTAAACTACTACTTATATTATGCTGCATTATCTCTTTTGAACAAAGTGATTATTGGCCCTTTGTGTAGCGATTATACAATGTAAGTGCAATCTTGCTGTTTCAAATGTTACAGTTTATGTTTAATGTACTTTTATTTGTAATGAGGGGTGCAACTTCAGATTTCTTTAAAGGCTTATTCTTACAAATGAAAAAAAAAAAGAAAAAAGCGTGCCTCAATTTCTCAGATTGTTCCAAGATTAAAACTTCTTTATGCGACTTGATGTCACTAGAAAGGGCGACATCCTCTGTTTCTGAGGAGATTCATTGTTAGGCAACTACTGTGAAGTCCAGAGACATTCCAGCAAAACAGGTAGTCTCCATTTTACAACAAAGAGGGAGGAGAAGGTACAGAAAGCAAAGGTTTTTAAGAATACTGAGAGGTAAAGGAAAATAGCAGTAAGTGTAACAACAACAAGCTTTGGTCTTCAAAGCGGTCGCCATATAATTGTAATCGATGAGGGGATTGAGTGCCCCCACAGTCAGTTTGCAGATGACATTACGCTGGGCAGGAACGTTGATCTCCTGAAGGGTAGGAAGGCTCTGCAGAGAGGTATGGACAGGTCGGATAGATGGGCTGAGGCCAGTTGTGTGAGATTATACAAGACAAAGTACCAGGTCCTGCACTTGTGTCACAAAAACCCCATGCAGCACTACAGGCTTGAGGTAGAGCGGCTGGAAAGCTGCCCGGAGGAAAAGGACCTTGCGGTGCTGGTCAACAGCCAGCTGAACATGAGCCAGTGTGTGCCCAGGTGGCAAAAAGGCCAATGGCATCCTGGTGTGGATCAGAAATAGTGCGGCCAGCAGGACTAAGGAAGTGATTGTCACTCTGTACTAAGCACCGGTGAGACTGCGCCTTGAATCTTGTGTTCAGTTCTGGGCCCTTCAAGAGAGACATGGAGTCACTGGACGGTGTCCAGAAGAGGGCACTGAAGCTGAGGAACGCTCTGGAGTTTTATGAGGGACAGTTGAGGGGACTGGGCTTGGTTAGCCTGGAGAAAAGGAACCGCAGGGGGGACCTTATTGCTCTGTACAACTACCTGAAAGGAGGTTGTAGCTATTTGGGGGTTGGTCTCTTCTCCGAAGTAACAAGCAAAAGGACAAGAGGAAATGGCTTCAAGTTGTACCAGGGGAGGTTCAGATTGAATACTAGGAAAAATTTCTTCACCAAAAGAGTTGTCAAGCACTGGAATGGGCTGCCCAGGGAAGCAGTGGAGTCATCATCCCTGTAGGTATTTAAAAGACATTTAGTTGCGGCACCTGGTGACATGGTTTAGAGGTGAAGATGGCAGTGCTTGGTTAGTGATTGAACTCAACGATATTAAAGGTTCATTTACCAATTGTACCATTCTCCACTCTTACCTTCTTTAACCTGAAAACCCATTTGATCCATGCCAGGTTATCACCAGTGTAAACAGTCCTAACCTTTCCTGTTTTCTTCCATATTTTGTGACAGACACTATTTTAAGTGGAGTTCCATACCACCTAATCTGTAACTGTTGTGCAAACACACAGATGTGTTCTGTCTTAAGCAATTCCCTACTCTGTTCATCACACTGTCTCTGACAAAGGAAAACTTATCTTCTCTCCTCCCCCACTATACCTGATACAGATACTCTCCTCAGGTCATAATACTCCCTGCAGACCAAAAAGATCCTTACTGTGTCCTGATTAGCACAAAATGGATACTACATGCTCTGAGAAAACAGACACTGTGTACTGTGCTCTAAGGACACATTATTATATATTGCAATAGAAAGTCAAAGGCTGAAGGCATTATTTCACAATCAAGATACCTTTTTGATCCCATGGGTGGCATGATTACTCAGCTACACACTGGCAGAAAAATCAACCTCTACTCATTAATTTTATTATACTTTTCAATTATATTTTTCTTAAAATGAGGTGCGTAAATCTTACTTGTCTGTGCTATATCCTGCCTTGTAGTTTACCACTGAGATACCTATTAATATTTGTTAACACATTAAACAGCAGTAATGAGTACTTCTAGAAAGCATACAGTAAAAGGAAGGAAGATCAGCAAAAGGATCAGAAGTGAGAAGGTGAAAAAGAAACCACAGAAAAGAGAGTAATGACTGCAGTTATAATGAACTGTTCATGACCTTAAACTCTCCAGTTTTCAGATTCTTTTTAGCCTTCGAATTGTGCTATACTCTGTGTGCTTTTTGTTCTGTAGAGAAAATCCAGATGTGTGCCATCAGTTGTGTGTAGTTATCATTACTGAATACCTATAAAGCCAATCTGAATCCATTTTTACTCACACTCAAATAAATTTTTGTAATAATAGAGAAATATATTCTTACAGGTAGAAAAACCTCTAGCTTCTTGTCTCGTTCATGTCTCCTTTAATGTTTCATCCACATCCAAACTCCCAAAGAGCTTTGAAATTATGACTTAACCTCACATTACTCTTTGATTAATTCTTATTTTCTTTGAGTACACCTTTTCAAAAAGTAATTTCAGCTGAAATAAAAAAATTTCCTTGAACAAGGAAACACAGTTTCCTTGTTCATCGTTAAGCATTGATGGTTACTATTCTGGCATCTATCCAATTAAAAAAAAAAGGTATAAATATATATTTGACTTCATTTTGCCTCAACTAATGTTCACAGTATTGTTATTCCTGAGTTGCATATAAATTCCACTCTCTAATGAAACGATTAATTAAAAATAATAGAGAATGTAAATATTATTTTCACGCTTTCCAGTTTGTGGGAGCATACCCCTTGGGACAACATACAAGGAACAGTCAGGGAACACACAGACTTATATATTCTTCTTCAGTCTCTGTTTTCCTTTTAATAATTAAGTCTTTGGTTATGATGACTTCAAGAAAAATCTTCCAAACACAAATTTGTTAAAACCAAGGCAGCAATATCTCGAATAGTTTGCCAAGAGCCTGAAAACAACAATTATGAAATATGTCATGTCTTCTTGAAAGGCTAGATTAGATGTAGAAAAGGTTCACAATGAAATGAAAAGGTATATAAAGAGGATATAAAGACAGAACTTGACTAATTTTGCTTTTCCAAAGGCAAGATTGACTTTCAAAAGTTTTGAAAATAGTTCTTGCAAGCCAGATAATTGCTTGTAATATATGGTTAGTAGAGGAGAAACTGCAGATAGGCAAAACTATTTAAAATTGGTTTAAGCTAATGGTCTGAATAAGTAAGACTCTTAAACATTTAGATCCAAAGAAAGCACGTTCATACAGACTGGGGAATGAGATGCCGGAAAGCAGTGCCATGGAAAGGGACCTGGAGGTCCTGGTCAACAGCAAGTTGAATATGAGTCAGCAGTGCCTCGGCAGCCAGGAAGGCCAACCATGTCCTGGGGGGCATCAGGTAAAGCATCGCCAGCCAGTCGAAGGAAGTGATTCTTCCGCTCTAGTCTGTGCTGCTGAGAACTGTGTGTATTCATCTTGTCATTTTGAGTACTGTGTGTAATTTTGGGCACCACAATATAAAAGAGACATAAAGCTATTAGAGAATGTCCAAAGGAGGGCAACAAAGATGGTGAAGAGCCTTGAGGGGAAGCTGTATGAGGAGCAGCTGAGGTCACTTGGTCTGTTCAGCCTGGAGAAGAGGAGACTGAGGGGAGACCTCATTGTATTCTACAACTTCCTCATGAGGGGAAGAGGAGGGGCAGACTGAAAGTGGGGATATTAATTAAATTTATTACTAACAGGATCAGAGCAGGAGAGTGAGAAGCAAAATAATCTTATAAACACCTTCCCCCCCTACCCCTCCCCCTTCCAAATTCTACCTCCTCACCCCCAGTGGTGCAGGGAGGGGAATGGGGGCTACAGTCAGTTGTTGTTTCTGCCACTGCTCAGGGAGGGGAGCCCTTCCCCCGCTCCCTGGGGGGTTCCTCCCACTGGAGACAGTCCTTCACAAACTTCTCCAGCATGAGTCCATCCCATAGGCAACAGTTCTTCACAAGCTGCTTCAGTGTGGGTCATGGGGTGCAAGTGGGGTGCACTTTTCCATGGGGTGCAGTCCTTCAAGCACAGACTACTCCAGCGTGGGTCACCCACAAGACCACAAGTCCTAACAGGGAAAACCGGCTCCAGCGTGGGCTCCTCTCTCCCTGCCAGGACTCTGCTCCAGCATGGGCCTCCCATGGGTTCACAAATCTCCTTTGGGCATCCAGCTGCTCCAGCATGGGCTCCTCCATGGGCTGCAAGTGGGTCTCTGCACTCCCGTGGTCCTCCATGGGCTGCAGGGGCACAGTTGCTACACCATCGGTTGCACCAAGAGCTGTAGGGAAACCTCAGCTCTGGTGCCTGGAGCACCTCCTGCCCCTCCTTCTGCACTGCCCTTGGTGTCTACATTGTTGTTCACATGTTCTCACTCCGCTCTGGCTGCAATTTTCATCTACCCAGTAACTTTTTTTTCCCCTTCTTAAATATGTTATCACAAAGGTATTACTATCATTCCTGAATGGCTCTCTGCCTTGGCCAACGGTGGGTCCGTCCTGGAGCTTGCTGGCACTGGCTCTACTGGATATGGGGGAAGCTTCTAGCAGCTTCTCACAAAAGTCACCCCTGTAGCCCCCCAGCTATCAAAACCTGGCCACAGAAACTCAATGCAGAGGGACAGATATTAGTCATAGAATAATAGATTGTTTGGGGTTGGAAGGGACCTTAAAGATCATCCAGTTCCAACTCCCCTGATATGAGCAGGGACACCTTCCACTAGACCAGGTTGCTCAGAACCCCAACCAGCTTGGCCTTGAACACTCCCAGGGATGGGGCATCCACAATTTCCCCCATCTGGGAAACCTGTTCCAGTGCTTCACCACCCTCTAGAAAACAATTTCTTCCTAACATCTAATCTAAACCTGCCCTCTCTTAGTTTAAAACAATTGCCCCTATCTGCCTCTATAAAAAGTCCCTCTCCCTCATTTTTTTAAGTCCCCCATAAGTACTGAAAAGCCACAATGAGGTCTCCTCGAAGCCTTCTCTTTTCCATGCTGAACAAGCTCAGCTCCCTCAGCCTGTCTTCATAGATATGTTCCAGATCATCTTTGTGGCACACTTCTGGACCTGCTCCATCGGTTCCATGTCTTTCTTGTGCTGAGGACTCCAGAGCTTGATGCAGTACTCCAGGTGGAGTCTCACAAGGACCACATAGAGAGGCAGAATCATCTCCTTCGACCTGCTAGCCAATTCTCTTCAGCTGCAGGCCAGGATGCATTTGGCCTGTGCTGAAAGTGCACACTGGTGGCTCATGTCCAGCTTTTCATCCACAAGAACCCCTAAGTCCTTCTCTGCAGGCCTGCTCTCAATGACTTCTTCTCCCACTCTGTACTCATATCTGGAATTGTCCCAACCCAAGTGCAGCACCTTGCACTTGCTTTCATTGAACTTCATGAGGTTCTTGTGAGCCCACTTCTCAAGTTTGTCCAGGTCCCTCTGGATGGTATCCCTTCCTGCTGTTCTGTCAACTGACACTGGTCAGCTTTGTGTCATCTGCAAATCTGCTGTGGGTGCCCTTGATCCCACTGTGTGTGTCATTGATAAAGATACTGAAGAGCACCGTTAGCAAGGCAAGAGTCCTGAGGGACACCACTCATCACAGGCCTCCACCTGGACACAGACCTGTTGCCACAACTCTGTCTACATCCATCCAGCCAATTCCTTATCCACTAAATAGTCCATCATCAAACCCATTTCTCTCCAATATGGAGATAAGGATGGCATGTAAGACCACATGAAAGCTCTAGGTAGATATTTGTCAGTCTTCTCTTGTCAACCATTAGTCTCCAGCTAAGAGATTGGTGCCATAATCTGGATAGGTTCTCATCAAACTATTTGACTGCAGTTCTTTCTCTGGGCTTCTTGTTAGGTCCTTGTAGTCCTAAAATCAAACTAACACTTCATTCATTGTGGGGATTGTACATTGTGCATTGTGTTTATGTGTATGCTCCAAAAATTTCAGAAATCACTGGAGTTGTGTTTCGAGCCATCAGAGAAACACATGAAGACATGAAGAACATGTCTTTGGACATAAAGAAACCAATCACATGTACTTTGACACTGGGAGTGTTATGAAAGCATGCGGGAGTTCTGAAGCATTCACAGCCTGCAGGATAGTGTTGGAAAAACACTTGGGGTGAAGGAAGCATAACCTGGTGCAGTTTTTCCATACTGTTTATTGGGCATGGACTTTGGGGCACATTACTTACAAAGTCATGCCCTGGAATGAATGAATTCAAAAGCTGCAATTTGACATGGACCGTGGGTCTTCCAGGGAACGATATTAAACATTGAGACATACAGGCAGCCACTGATCTAGCACTTACAGAGTCATATGTAACACCCCAGCACCAGAACTATGAGCTTAACTGAGGGTTCTACTTTTAAAAATATACAAGGCTCCAAAAAGTCACCCACGAAACATTTTGAAGTGCCCTCAGTTCTTTAATACCTTGAGGCAGCATTAAGAGAATATGATGGACACGTTTTCTCAGGAGATACTTTTACTGATAATTTTAGAAAACATGGGAGAAAATAAGAGTACTTGGCAAAAGTTTAAAAGGGTAACATACAACCAAAACAAAGCATTCCACAAAGCATTGACGTAGCACATGCTAACCCACACAATTTAGTAAAATCCAACCCACCGGTTTTAAGTTACCCAAAATATTAAGAAAAGAGATTAAAAGAAGAAAAAGGAGAGAAGAAAGAAAAGATATTAAGAGAACATAATAGCCACCACTAGAGAGTCCAGCAGAAGCCCAGCTTTCATGAGGCAAGAAGCAATTCTCAAGCCAACCATGTGCTGCTGTGTTTCTGTGCTCTGGCCCCCTGTGGCCACCCCTCCAGGTGGGACTTCTGGCCCACTGTCCACTCTGGGGCTCCAGGCTGGAGTGAGGGGTGGTGTAGCCAATCAGAGGCTGGCTTAGGGGTACCAGGGTGTGAGGTGTGGGCGTGTTCCCAGGCTGCCTTTTGACTGACAGCTACTCCAGGGTCACCTGGTGAGGTGGCAAGGTTTGCCATGTGGGATAGGCCATTACGTCTCCTCTGTGAGATTTGACCTAAGTCCCTGCCCTCCCCCTAGGTGCAGTTGAGTTGGTTCTGACCCAATAATGTAATAATCCAATGTCTCATATCATAGAATCATAGAATACACTGAGCTGGAAGGGACCTATCAGGATCATCAAGTCCAACTCCTGACCCTATGCAGGACACCCCAAGAGTCACACCATGTGGCTGAGAGCGTTGTCCAAATGCTTCTTGAACTCAGGCAGGCTTAGTGCTGTGACCACTTCCCTTGGGAACCTCTTGAAGAGCTCAAACAGCCTCTGGGTAAAAAACTTTTTCCTGATATCCAGCCTAAGCCTCCCCTGACACAACTCCATGCCATTTCATGGTAGTGAAGAGATCGGTACTTGTCCCTCCACATCCCCTCATGAGTTTGAGCTCTCTCTCTCACACTGTCCCATTTAACAAAATATTTGTAGGCAGTATGTCCATTTCTCAAAAATTGTTTCTCACTAGAATTTTAAATTGACCTTAAAAACAGGCTTGTAATTTGAATATCTAATAAGAGGGAGAGCTATTTGAATATCCCATAAGATTTTGCTGCTAACAGAGAGGGATGTAAGGCAGAACCCTTAGTGATTGCAATATAATTTTAATGTCAAAGAGAGCTACTTTTAAAGATAAGTAAGGCAGTCATCTACCCCCCATTGTGGAGTCTGAGATGACAAAAGAAAATTCTTCACTTGCAAGAATATTTTCCCATTAAAAATTTGGAAATTGGCAAATGTGATTAATCTGTTTCTCCTAGCTTTCTATTAGGAGAATTAGGAAATTTACAAGAAAAGGAAGCAAAAGCTATTTTTCTTTATCTTAAAAAATAATCTAACCTCTAGAATTTCTTCCTGTTCATTAAAAAACCCCAACCTTTGAAATATGAAATGTTTTATATTTAGTATCGCAACTATGTAAAAATATTTTAAATTTTTTGTTGATGTTCTTTAAGATGCTTCAAAGGTGGTTGAACTTATTGTAATAGATGTGGATATATTTATTCCCAAAAATACCAGAAGCTATAACAAAGCCTCAACAAATGTCAGCTTTTTGTATCAAAGAAAGTTAAACAGTGGTTTTCTGAAGACAAAATTGCTGATCTGTCTATAGATAATCCATTGACTATTTCCTTATTAATAACCAAGATGGCAATGGTTGTTCAATGTCTCGGAGAGAACTGCTATACAAAATCTATCCATAGAGTTAAATTATCCCATATTCCTCCAGTTTAAAATCATCCTATTGGGAATAGTTTTTAGACCATGAAACCAACCGAGGCATCCTGAAACACTGTCAGAGAGCTCTCAGTAATCCAGGCCAAAATCATTCAAGGAAATATACTGACCCTTTAATACTGTAGGGGATTGCAGGATGGGAAGTGGGCCTTTGCTATTTTGTTTACTTGTTATAAGCATGTGGGAAAAGAGGTGGGATAAAGTACCAGGGATTAGTCCTCCTGAAAAGATCCAGTCCTGCAGGAGCTTCAACAACATTAAAAGGAGTGTGAAGAACACACAGGCTCCCTGGAATGCTTTTAATTTTTAATAATGAAGGAATGAAAATAGACTGAGTCAAAAAGAAGAAGTATGCAAAAGTTAAAACAAAGTAAAATGTGGTAGAAGGCAAAAAAGAATGGAAAAAGATGATGCAGATGGTAACATGTATGTGTTACAAGGTTTCCATTGCAGTCTTTAGACAGACAGCATACATAAAACATTCTTGTCCCAAGTGAAAAAGTGAAATTCAGGGTACCCTTATTTGATGTTTTTTCAGTATATCTAGCTATAAAAACATCAAATGAAGTTAATGTTTCATTTGATGTTTTTAACATTACAGCAATCACTGAGAAATGTTGCATCAAGCTTTATTCATTTTATTACTTTATTAATTTATAAAGGGCCCATCTCAAGACAGAATCTGTGAGGCTGAATAAAAAAAAAAAGGAGCCAAATTGAGGTCAATACCTAAAGAGACCATGGGAAAAAAAAAGCAAAAACTGAGTAAAAATTAAATTCTAAACATTGAGATTTTTTAGAAAAAATGGAAGAGCAAAACTGAATGCTGTTCAGAATACTAGAAAGCTTGCATTGCATCTTTACATTATCCAGAAAGTACTGTGGTCATTCTCTAAATAAAAAGATTTGCCTGAAATGTACAGAAACCTAAGTAGTAAAACATTGGCTCAAAAAAAACCCCAAACAATCATAACCAGCTGGCTCATTCCCACTCTTTTTGAGGAAGACATACAATTGTTCAAATATCACAAAGAAAGGCATGAAAATATGAAAATTCAAAAAAATAGGTACCTTTATACTTGCATACATCCACATATATACACATGCATGCTTATTTGCACACAGACACACATATTAAGATAAATTATGCTGAAGGGCCCAGTGATACTGAGATGTCAAGCACTCAAAAATCCTAAGACTCAAAAACAAACTGTGCCCTCTTTTTGGTATGAAACTTTGTACTTGTCCATTACAACATAATTTTTAATTGAAGATTCTGAATAACGTTTTGTTTCTCAATTCTCCCTGCCCTACCACCCTCTTCCATGTCCATTATAGGTCCAGCAATGCTCTGTTTGAGAGGTCCTGTGTTAACAGCTATTTTGCTGGGTAATGAAGGACTCTACCATATGTGGGACCTAGCTGGCCAAGTGCAGTTTGGATGGGCAGCCAGACAAGGCATGCTGGTAAGGAGGGAAGCATACTGCAGTGCTATGTAAAACATGCGTAGGCTTGGCAGTAAGCTGAGCACCATCTTCAGCAGTGATGAAGATTAGGCTTACAAGTCAGGAGA